TGAGATATATATATATATATATATATATATATATACATACATATATATATATGTATGTATATCTCAGGTGCTTATTCATTTAGTGGGGAGAGTTCTGGTTGGGCCAGGAGAAGGATTTGGGGAGTGGGACATGGCATGGGAGCAGGACTCTCTGATAAGCGAAGCCTGGGAAGGGGTGCAAGGTTCTTTGGAGTAGGCTGCAAAGGGAAGGAAGACGAGCAGAGTGGAAGGGAGGGGCGGCTTCTCCTAGCCGGGGTGCCGGTCGGTTTGGAGGAGGCAGGTCCCGTTAGCCTGCCTACCGATCCTTTCCTAGTCCCACCAGCAGGCTGGGAGCGCGGCCGGAGCCAACCCAGTCCCGCCGCCAGGTCCCGCCCCCGGGAGCCCCCTGCCCCGCCTCCTGCCCGCCTTCCTCGGGATTGAGTCCTGGCAGTGCCGCTGAACCGCAGCTGCCGCTTCCGCCTTCGCCAGGTAAGGGTCCCTGGTCAGTAACGGGCCCGGTGCAGCCCGGCCCATCACCCATCGCCCGGGGCGCGTCCGCGGGGGCTGGGCCTACCTGATCCTCGTACCCTCCCCAGGCTTTTCCCTTCCGCGGCCGCCTTTTTCCTTCCCGCTTCGCGAGCCGAGGTCTGCCGGGCACCTGGGCTCGCTGCTCTCCCGCCGCTCCTCGCGCCGATTCCTGCCCACTTCCGGCTTTCTATCTCCGCCCAGCCTCCTTCCTTGCTCTTCACTTAACTACCGTGGGGGGAAGGTGGAGAGAGGTCCAGGTGTGTGTCAGAGTGCGTGTGTGCCGGCGGCCCGTACCTAGAGAGCCTAGAGCCTTATTTAATAAAGGTTGGTGGAGCTGCTTTGAAGCCAGGTTACGTGGAGTGACTCGAGCGTGCGGGCGGGGCTCTGTATACCTCGAGCTGAGCTCAGGTGGGTGTGGATGGGACTGTGCACCTGGCAGTCGAGGGTGGCTCCTGTAGGCAATACCTGAGCCTAGGGCAGGCTGCACTTAGCGGCTGATCACAAATGCCTGATTTGATTTCAAGTGTTGCATTGGTGGATAAGAGGCGATGCACCTGGGTATCTGGTGAGGGGGTACTGTGCCATATATAGTGCAGGCATGTGTGAACACTGAACCTTGTCTCGTGTGTTTATGTGAACCTCGTCTCAGATGTGTGGGGCAGTGAACTGCCAGGTTTCAAGTACAGGTATGCGAGAGGGTGTGTGGCAGTAAACCTCGGCATTTCCTAGGAGCATCCTGGAGTGTCTCAGATTTGAGGGGTGGTGTACCTGGGCATCTCAGGCATGCTTGGCAATATACAGTAAAACCTGCAAAAGCCGGAACCTGTGTAAGGCAGAAACCTGTCAGAGAAGGAAAACTTAAATATTTTCCACTAATAGAGAGCGATAGAAAAGTGGTAAGTCTGTACCCTGTCAAAGCTGGAAAACTTGCTAGACCCGGTAAAGCAAGGCAGTCCCGGAGAGTTCCGGCTCTCACCAGGTTTCACTGTAGCTATATGTCTCATTACATGTATGTGGCAGTGTATCTTCATGTCCCCGTATGTGTGTGAGTGTGTGTGTGTGCACCTGCATGTCTGAGGTATGGTATACTTAGAATATCTGTATATCTCCAGTCTATGTGTGGTAGACCAAAATGGCTCATGAGGAGGGGAGGTGTCTCAGGTGTCTATGAGTGAATGTGTACAGTGGTGTACCTGGGTAGCTCAGGTCTAAAAGGGCAGTATATCTGGGTGTCGTAGGGGTACAGGAACAGCGTGCCATATTTACTCAGGAATGAGGAGGGCAGCAAACCTGAAGTCTGTAGCATAGGCAGGCAGACTAAAAACTAGTTGATCCCGACTCGTGGTGACCCTACATTTGTCAGAGTAGAGTGCCCTGTAGGGTTTTCAATGGCTGATTTTTTCAGAAGTAGATCACCAGTTCTTTCTTCCGAGGAGCCTCTGAGTGGACTTGAATCTCCCAACCTTTCAGTTGGCAGCTGAGCGCTTAACCATTTGGACCACCCAAGCAGTGTACTGAAGTTTCAGATGTGAAGAGAACCGGTTTCACAGGTAGTAGTGGGGGAGGACTTTAGGTCTTGGGTATGGGGCGCACTTCACCTGGGGTTTGTGTGTGTGATTGGCAGGGTTTCTGGCTATCTCTGATGTGTCCCTCCCTCTGTCCTTGAGTGTTTCTGATGAGCTGGGATTGGAGCCAGAGACCATGTTTCTGGTGTTTGGGTGTCTTAGATGCCCACCCTGGACTCTGAAGGAGAGTACCATCATCCTTAGGCGTCCCTTCTTCAGACATGCTCCCTGAGGTGAGCTCCTTGTGGCTGCTGCAACTGCTCCGGGACATCCAGCTGGCCCAGTTTTATCGACCCATTCTTGAGGAGCTTAATGTCACTCGACCAGAGCACTTCAACTTTGTAAGGCCTGAGGACCTGGATGGCATTGGCATGGGCCGGCCTGGTGAGGAACCCCTGCCTTGAGGTCCTGGTCTTCCTCCCCCAGGGCTGCCAGCACCCCCGCTCCAGGCCTCTTCTGGCGTGTAAATCCCTCTGCACCCCGTCCCCCACCTCAGTCCTCTGATTCTGATCTCTCCCAGCTCAGCGCAGACTGGCTGAAGCTCTAAAGAGGCACCGCTCTGGGCTCAAGTCCAAGAACTGGGTCTACAAGGTGTGTGTTTGGTGGGGAGAACGGAGGCACTTAAAGGGCCAGCTTAGGCCCGGGGACCAGGTGGGGCTGAGTGGCAGTTGAGGTTATGTCGGTTCCGCACACTCTGATTTCTCACTCCCGTTTCAGATCCTTGGGGGTTTTGCCGCTGAGCAGGAGACCACCCCACCCTCAGACAGCCTTCCGTGCCTCCTTGAAGCGGAGGGGGGACACAAGTGTCTGATCCCAGAGGGTGCTGTGCGCAGAGGGGAGCTGCTGGGCTCCGGCTGCTTTGGTGTGGTACATCGAGGACTATGGGTGCTGCCCAGTGGCCAGAGCGTGAGTGTCCAAGGAGCCCACTGCACCTGGGTGCCTGGCCCAGCTGCCCCTCTGCTCTGCATGCCCTCTCTGCCCTGGCCCTGGTATAGCCATTCCCCAATGTGCCTGATAGTGTCCCCTCCCCAGCTTCCAGTGGCTGTCAAGTCTCTCCGGGTGGGTCCCAAAGGCCCCGTGGGCACCGAGCTGGGGGACTTCCTGCGAGAGGTGTCAGTCATGATGAACTTGGAGCACCCACACGTACTGCGTCTGCACGGACTTGTACTGGGCCAGCCCCTGCAGATGGTGAGTAGAGCTCGACCCCGGTTCCCCGACAGCACGTGTCACGGAGGGTGGGCGGCTGAAGTCCTGTGGGCCTGGAGAACTCACACAGTGCTGTGCTACCACAGGTGATGGAGCTGGCGCCACTGGGCTCCCTGCACGCGCGCCTGACCGCCCCGGCCCCTACACCCCCACTGCCTGTGTCCCTGCTCTGCCTCTTCCTGCGGCAGCTGGCGGGGGCCATGGCATACATGGGGGCCCGCGGGCTGGTGCACCGGGACCTTGCTACGCGCAACCTGCTGCTGGCCACACCGCGCACCATTAAGGTGGCGGATTTCGGGCTGGTGCGGCCGCTGACTGGCGCCCGGGGGCGCTACGTCATGGGCGGGCCACGCCCCATCCCCTATGCCTGGTGAGGGGAGGGGCGATAGGTGGAGCCGCGTGAAGGGGCGGGTCAGCAAGGCAATAGCTAAGTGGGTTCCTAGAGTGCTGGAATGGGAGGTCTTCTGAGGGAGGCTGGGACAAGAGGGGTTAGATCGGGAAGGACTTGGAGAGGAGGACTTCTTAGGATGATGGGAGCATTGCACGGGTGCTCAGTAGGAGGTGGGAGCTCCAAGGGGCTCATATCCAGCCCCCTTCAGCACCACTTCCATAGGTGTGCCCCAGAGAGCCTGCGCCAAGGAGCCTTCTCTTCTGCATCAGACGTGTGGATGTTTGGGGTGACGCTGTGGGAGATGTTCTCTGGGGGTGAGGAGCCCTGGGCCGGCGTCCCACCCTACCTCATCCTGCAGCGGCTGGAGAAGGACCATGCCCGGCTGCCTAGGCCTCCGCTCTGCTCCAGGGCCCTCTACGCCCTCGCCCTGCGCTGCTGGGCGCCACACCCTGCCGACCGGCCTGGCTTTTCCCATCTGGAGGGGCTGCTCCAAGAGGTGGGGGAGAGGTGTCTGTCGTGATGGTGGTGGTCCTCCCCAAGTACAGTTTCTCTTCCCTCCATTCTCTCTCCCAGGGTTCTGTGCACAAGACACATACTGACTCCTGTGCTGGGCTCTGGGACCCGGCTCTGAACAAAACCGAGTCAGTCCTACCTGCAGGAAGCTCAGAGCCCTGGGGAGGCAGCTTGGGACTTACATGGATGCAGGCTAAAGGGCTGAAGGGGAGCAGAGAGGAGAGAGCAGTAGGGGGAGGTGGGTATTTGACAGGCAGAAGAGAAGTTCAGCGTGGGAGGGGGAAGTACAAGTCATGAGGCTGCAGAGGGAGGAGGGGCTGTGTCCTGGAGCCATTTATGAGGCATATTAACAACAGTTAACATACAGTACTTGATATGTGTAAGATACCATACTGTTTCACAGGTATCTTTTCATATATTCCCTCTTTTAATTATCGCATCAACCCAATGAGGTAGTTATTATTATTTCAGTTTTACAGATGGGTCAGTTGAGGCACTGACAGTTTACGTGACTTGCGTAGGGCCATACAATAAGTCGGGGAGATGGGATTTGAACCAGTCAATCTGACTTCAGAGCTCTTCCCGAAATCACTGTACTCTATGGTTACAGAAGTTTAGACTTTGAGGGTGCCTGTGGAGCCCTGGTGGCGCCGTGGTTAAGAACTACAGCTGCTAACCAAAAGGTCAGCAGTTTGAATCCACCCTCCGCTCCTCGGAAACCCTATGGGGCACTCCTACTCTGTCCTCCAGGGCCACTATGAGTTGGAATCGACTTGACGGCAACGGGTTTTTGGTTGGTAGCTATGGAAGGGTTTTGAGCAGGGGAGTTTTGTATCATGTGGGCTTGGTGCGGGAATGATTAGAGGGATGACACTGGAGGTGGGGAGACCAGGGAGGCAGCTATGGCTGTGAAGCAGGATTGAGAGGAGGAGGCCTGGATAAGGGTGAGGCAGTAAGGCTGGAGTGGAGTGGGAAGATTCCAGAGGTGCTTGAGGGGCAGATCATGGGCTTCGGTGTGAAGTAAAAGTGGCATCCATGATGATACTCCTGATGGTCCCCCTAAGTAGGGACACATTTCTTTCTGATCCCTGGGCTGTGTCCAGCTTGGCAGGAGATGTGTGTCTGCCTCCCCACTGGACTAAACTCGGGGGGACAGGGACAGTCCTACCCTGGGCCCAACCCAGAGGGCATGCCTGGTGTGGGTTTGATTGGCAGGTGCACAGACGGGAGGGTTCCTTTCCTCCCTGCTCACCATGACATGACCCTTCTGACCAGGCCGCAAGCCCAGCCCCCTTCCCTCCTGTCTCCACAGGCCCAGCCTCCTGAGGGACGCTGTGTGAGGGATGTTAAGGAGCCAGGTTCCCTGAGGATGGAGGTCGGTGACCCCATCACCGTCATCGAGGGCAGGTGACAATCCTATGTCTCCCGAGCATCCCCAGGAACACCGCTCCCAACCTTTCTGACTCCTGGTCCTCTCTCTGCATCTCCCTGCTCCTTGAACCTTGATCCTCTATTCCCTTCCTGTTCCTTCTGGGCCCTGAGAACCTCACCACATCCCTGGCCTCCTGCTGGAGCCACCGCTGGCTCGTATAGCCTTTTGTGTTAAGTGGGAAAAAGGCTTCCCCTCCTCCAGGCAGATGCAGCTACATGGCACACAGCTTGGGGAGGCGAATGTGGGCTGGACCCCAGCCCCCACTGTCCCCTGCTCCCATCCGCCCTTACCAGCCCCTCTTCCCACAGCCCTGACTCCACCACCTGGAAGGGCCAGAACGGCCAAACGCTCAAAGTGGGCAGCTTCCCTGCCTCCGCAGTGACGCTGGCAGATTGGCCAGCCACCCGCCCAGTCCACAGAGGCTCCCCTGCCCGGGGGGAGAGAAACCGGGGAATCAACGATGGGTGAGGACCTGAAAGGGAGAGGCCAAGCTGGGCTGGGGGAATCTGCTCCAGCAAGTTCTCAGGAAGGGAAGTCTGGGGAGAGGGCCAGAGGTGAGGCTGCACTGGCCTCCCAACTGGAGCTCCCAGCCTGGGCCTTGGCTTCCTGGGAGCCCAGAGAGGGGACACTGATATGTTGGGGGGAGTGAAGAGCAAGCAGGTGGACAATGAACTGGATCACTCTTCCACAGGGACAGAACAAAGGTGAAGCTTCAAGATCTGCCTCCAGCATGGTACCAGAGAAGGAACATGCCTCTGCCCAAGATGAAAGGTGGGTACGCAGCAGGGACAGGCCTCCAGGTCTCTGAGATCAAGAACAACTCTCCAATTCTGCCCTACCCCCCCGCCACAGCAGTGCTTCTGCATATGTTATTTCCCCATACATGATTTCTTTCCCCAAATTCTGCCTGTTGACATCCTAGCAATGCATTAAGGGGTATAAAGTCCCCCTGTCCCATCTCCCCTACTGAAAGTATCTCCCACTCTCAGGGTCGGGCAGGCCTTCCCCTGTCTGGGCCTTGGTGCCCATTCTACACGTGTCTTATTTGTCCCACCTGACACCTGGACCACCTTGAGAACTGGCCAGGTAGCTCATCTGTGAGTGCTTGCGGAACCATCCAGCTCAGCAGAGAAAGAAAGAGGGCTGGGGAGACAGGGCCCCTGAGGAAGGTAGGCCTAGCTTCTGGATTGCCTTTCAAGTTGTTCCTTTCTCAACTGTGCAGGCATCTCCAAGAGCCTTGAGTCGGTTCTGTCCCTGGGCCCTCGTCTCACAGGAGGTGGTTCAAGTCCCCCTGAACTTCGACATGCCAGAGCTGTGCCCGAGGGACCCCCATTTCTGCCACCCCGCGAACCCTTTGCCTCCAGCTCTCCCTCTCAGGTCAGCCAGCCCCCTAGGGAGCGGCCGCCCTGGCCCAAAAGAGAACCGCCCCCTAGTCACCCCATGGGAGCACCTGGAGCCAGCAAAGCCACTGGGCCCTCTGGAGGCTTCCTTCCTGACCCCGAGTTGCAGAGGAGGGTTATGGAGGTGAGATCTCCCTGAAGTGGCCTGATGTCCAGAAGGGGCTGCAGGCTGGAGCAGGGGCCCAATGCAGCTTTCTCCCCCGAAGGTGGAGCTGAGCGTGCATGGAGTCACCCACCAGGAGTGTCAGGCAGCACTAAGAGCCACTGGGGGAGATGTGGTTTCCGCCATTCGGAACCTCAAGGTAGAGCCAAACCCTTCTCCCAGGCTCCTTCACCTCCTGCCCCTGCCCTCAGGCAGCCAGCTCAGCCTGCTCTCCTTCCTGCCTCCACAGGTAGATCAGCTCTTCCACCTGAGCAGCCGCTCCAGGGCTGACTGCTGGCGCATCCTGGAGCATTACCAGTGGGACCTCTCAGCTGCCAGCCGCTATGTCCTGGCGCGGCACTGAGCTCTGCTCCCTTAGGAAAGGACCCCAGTGTGGAAAGCCTGGGACCCCTGGCACCCAGCCATGTGGGGTCAAGCAGAGCAAGGTCCTGGCAGAGGCAGAGTTTCCCACCCGGAGCTATCTGCTGCAGGCAGGTACAGGAGCCCAGAGTCAGCACCAACCAGTGCCTCCTCTCTACCCTGCCCCGTGGCCTCTGAGGGCTCAGGCTTCCTTGGCTGGCCACAGCAGGATCTAGTCGACTCTGCCCACAATATTGCCAAACAAGAGGACTTGAAGAACAGAGCTGCCACACATCATATCCAGAGAAAGCTGCTACTTACTACATAGAATGGTCAAGTGGCCATGGTGGAGCATGGGAACAGCCATCATCTACCACTGGACTCTGCGGGAGCAGCCATCTTGGATGATGGAAGCAGCCATATTGACTTGGGGCATGTGGCCCCAACCACCTTGGCTTGGTCCGGGGCCATGGTGGTGATGAAAGCTGCTCTACTGGACTCAAGGACAGTTGATTGTGATAGCATGTATTATGAGAAGGGCTAGCCCACCCCAGCCGTCATATTTCCCTTTGTTTCTTTCCACACCAACTCTTTCTTCTACGCCCCCGCCCCCGCCATTGCATACATCTTCCAATGTCCAAAAAATTACAAAGTTTATATGGATACAACATACAAAGATGCAGCCTCCTTCCTAGGGTAATGGTAGGAAGGGGTGGTTAAATAAGGCACAGGAAGCTGCAGCAAGTACCAGCTGTGGGCAGGGCCCAAGGGGCTGGGAGGTTGGCACTAGGGCCCAATCCTACAGCTGTTGGTAAGGAGGCAAAGATCCCCTCAAAGTGCCGTAGTCTGAGGCTGAACTGATAGGCCAAGCTGATGCAGAGAGGGTGGTCATGTCCGCTATTCTTTGGTGCTGTTTACCCTCTTCCATCCCAGCTCTGTCATAACACTCCAAAGTCCTGGGTTCCAAAGGCCTTTTCTGGAGCAGAGGCCCTGGAAGGGGGTAGGAGGGGGTAGGTAGGGAAGGTTTGAAAGCCAGGAGACAGTGGTGGGAGGTAGTAGGGGAAGGGTCCTCGTACACACTCTTCTGTGGGGGCCACAGGTGAAGGAGGCCAGAGAGGTAGGGTAGGGATGAGGCACATGGCCCCCAGCCTCTCAGGTACCCCGTCTGTCCCTGGTGTGTACATGGAGGGAAGAGGCTGCCTCTGAGGAGGGACCAGGCCACAGCAGGTGACCATTTTGAATTCTGTTTGAGGTGATGGTCTCCTTACCCTGAAGCAGCCTCTAGCTGGTGATGGCAGAGGGCCCGGTGCCTCCTTGCTTCTCAAAGAACATGTAGTCCTGTGGGAAGGATACCATCGATAGGAGAGCCAGCTGGGCTCAGCTATCACAAACCAGGTTGGTACACCTAAGCCCCCAGAAACTCTGCCCCTCACACCAACCCTTTCCTAGAAGGAGGCCAGGAAGTGCACAAAGCTCCAAGGGAGAGGAAAAGGGTGAAGGGGCGGAGGCAGCCAACTCACAATGAGGAACGTGGCTCCCAGTAGCACAGCCTTCACCTTCACGTCCAGATCCATCGGGAACTGCAGGCCAAAGTCATCTGCATCCGTGAGAGTCTCTCGGAGCAGGCCCCCCCACTGCTTGCTGATGCGGCCCACACTGCGGGACTCATCCCGGGTCTTCACCTGTCAGGAGGGAGAAACGACCCAACTGGGGGGGAGATGACCAGTCTCACATGGTCATGCAGATTGTAAACTGTACCAGGGCGCCACATCTAAGGGGACACCGTGCACGTTGTAGACATGTACGTTTATTATGAACATTTTCTGGCACATGACAGTCTTTTAAAGAAGGGGCGCCTTTTTCTGGTGGACTAAAAACACCACATGGGCTAGTGGCAGCCTTAACAGAAAAGTGCAGGATAATTCACAGGTCTCCAAATGCCCTCATCTCCCTTAGCCACCCTCAGGGGTCAGGCAGCCTTGAACTTATCGAAACCTCCCTGACCCTGGGCAGTTTACATGGAGTGAAGGAAAGTAACCTACACTGGGAATCAAGAGATCTGGCTTTTGCTAAGCTGCAGTGTCAGACTCCTCTGGAAAATGGGGATTTACAAATACATGCCTCAGAGGTTCTCTGCAAGCTAAAGTACAGTGAACCCTTAGGGCACTCGGCGAAAGTCAGGTAAGGACACCTGACAGGCCCTAAAAAAACCAAATCCATTGCCGTTGAGTTGATTCCAACTCATGGCGACCCCGTGGGTTGCAGAGTAGAACCGTGCTCCATAGGGTTTTCAAGGCTGTGACCTTTCAGAAGCAGATTGCCAGGCCTTTCTTCTGAAGTGCTTCTAGATGGGTTCGAACCTTCGAACCACCAACCTTAGTCGAGCACTTAACCATTTGTGCAACCCAAGTAGTGCCGTAAACCTGTTGCCTTTGAGTCCATTCCAACTCATAGCAACCCTACAGGACAGAGTAGAACTGTCCCGTAGTGTTCCCAAGAAGTGGCTAGTGGATTCCAACTGCTGATCTTTCGGTTAGCAGCTGAGCTCTTAACCACTGCGCCACCAGGGCTCCAAGTAGCGCCCTAGCAGGTACTAAAAACTGAACAGGGAAGGCCTGTCTCAGTCACCGGTCCTCAGAGGTACTGCAGGGATGGTTCTGAATTCCCCCATGCAGGGACAGAAACCACACGTGCACTCTTAACCAGGTGTGCATGATCCTCAACTTTAGACCTCTGGCAGACTAAACAGAGGAAAAAACATGTATAAAGCACCCATCAGTCACTAAAAACCGAACCACACCTGTTGCCGTCGAGTCAATTCCAACTCATAGTCACCCTATAGGACAGAGTAGAACTGCCCCATAGGGTTTCCAAGGAGCAGCTGGTGGATCCAAACTGCTGATCTCTTGGTTGGGAGCCAGGCTCTTAACCACTGCACCACCAGGGCTCCTATCAGGCACTAGGCATAAATTATCTCAGTGAATCCTCCTCACAACCTTGGGTTTCCATGTGACAGCTCAGGAAACTGAGGCAGCCTCGGCCACAATGTGAGTATGTGGCAAAACGGAGATTCAGACTGGAGTCTGCTGTTCTCCAAAGGCCGTACATCACATGACTGAGCATTAGCGGTGGGAGAAATGGAAATGTGATATAGTCTAATCCCCTTAGTGTATGGCTGGTTGCTAGGTTTGATTTCCAACATCCCTGCCACCCACGGTTGGTGCAGTTTGTGTTCTGCACAAAGGAGCCTGGCTAAGAGGACGAGAGAGACTACTGCAATCCTGGCTGCACTCCACCAGCCAGCCAGGCTCTTGGAGGGCTGTGTCTGACCCCCTAAAACCAAACCAGTTGCCACTGAGTCAACGCCAACTCATGGAGACCCCATGTGTGTCAGAGTAGAACTGTGCTCCATAGGGTTTTCTGGAAGTACATTGCCAGGCCTTTCTTCTGAGGCACCTCTGGGTGGACTCCAACCTCTAGCTTTTCTGTTAGCAGCCGAGCATGTTAAGCACTTGCACGACCCAGGGTCTCCGTATCTGCCCAAGGAGGTGCCTTTTCTCTAATTTGAAAATCACGGGAAGGCCTTGTCCAGCATTGCATGCAAACTTTGTCTAGAGGGGATCCAAGCCCATCTATTGGGAGAGACAAGAGCGCAGCAGTAAGTGGACTCTAAGGACTATGATTTATTTCTATTGGCCTCTCTGAGCTCAGCAACAAGAAGCCCTGCCACTGCAGGTGGTAATTCACAATGACTCCCTGATCCTTTTGCTCATCTTCCAGTGACTAGAACTAAAGTGATTTCCTCCTGTGTCCTTTCTATCTTTTTCCCCCACTGTCCTATAGCTCTGGGGCACTTCATGCAGCCCAGTCCCAGGCTGGGCAGGGCCTATCCCAGCCAGTCCTATAGTCCCAAGGGTGTAACCTCAAATACAGACCATTCATAACTATGTAAAAAGGAGACTGGTTCTATGAGAACCCACAATTAACACATTCCCACCCAGAGATCACCTAGCTCCCATCACAGAACCTCCCCCGGCTACCAAGGTGACTCAATTTTTAAACGTAACCTTAGGTAGGTAGGAGACCTCATCAGAAGCTTTGGGAAGTCTGCTAGATTATACTTATTGCCTCTCCCTTATCAGCAGAGGTAATTATTATCCCTTAAAGAACTCAAGTGTCTATGGGATGACTTTCTCTTCTAGAAACCAAAGTGTTTCCCAGGTCTCACCCTGAAATTGTCACCACTTGGGGTCTCCAGGTTCCAGTCTGGTGATAGGAATGCATGGTGGGAAGGGTATCACCTGGATTCCAGGTTGGAGGGGCCATGTGGCTTTCCAGGTTGGTGGGCAAGTCACAGGATGCTAATGAGTCAAATTAGTGCTTGTCCCTGGGCCTAGGCTCATAAATTTATGCACAGCAGCCACATGGGCCCAGCACTCAATAATCACCTTTCCCCTAAATCCAGGCTGGCCTCAGATTTTCCTCAACACAGAACTGTAGGTAACAATCAGCACTAGTTCTTAAGATGAAACCCTCTTTGGCATGCCTTTGTAAGACCACTGAACCATCCTATTTCAGAATGGAAGAAAACTGAAAATGTGGTAGCAATCACAGTAGATTTGGATTGATGAGCTCAGAGTCTTGACCTTAGCATTGGCCATCCTGCCTCATGGAGGCTGCCATCTTGGATCATGGAAGTTACCATCTTTGTTTATGAGGGTCTCTTCCTGATACCTCAAAGTTGGTGTCTGTGCCACAGCCACAGGTCCAGCAGGGCCCCACCACTCGGAGGACAGTCTGGCGATCAGCATCCTGGATGGAGAACTTGGGGAGGAAGGGATGCCAGGTCTGTAGCACATGGCCAATGGTGGTGCCCGGTGGAGCCTGTACTTCCATCTGGGGTAGGAGGCAGACAGGGTCACTGCCAAGCCAGGGTTGCCTCGTCCAAGTTCCCACGCCCTCTCACTAGACTCTCCCATCCCGACGAGCCCATGCCCACCTGAGCCATGCTCCATCCCTGCCCCTGCCCCATCATGGACCAGTCTGCTACCCCAGCCTCTCCTCTACCCTACACCTCCTCACCCACCTCCTGGAGGCCGCAGGGGCAGCAGCTGCAGCCACAGTGGAGTGGGCGCAGCAGGCGCAGCACTTCGCGGTCCCCAGGGTCCACCAGGCGGACGCGCAGCGGCCGGCGGGCACCACAGCACAGGCGGGCGCAGCAGTTGCTCTCCTCGGCCGCCTGGCCCAGGGGCTGCCCTGCCCCCGAGCGCAGTTCGTAGTGGTTACAGGTTTCCCAGCCTAGGAACCCTGCCAAGGAGTTATACGAGTCCCGGTGAGGTTCAGGCGCCACGCTGGCCCAAGGGCCCATCATCCCTGCCCGTGTCACAAGGCCCAACCTCCTCCGCGGCCGCCCCACTCACCTTCCACTCGCTCAACCTTCTGGTGAATCAAGATCTGGTCAATCTAGAAAGAGTAGGGGCGCCGCCGACGTCAGCTGGCTGGCCTGGACGCCCAGCTCCCTGTTATCCCTCCCTCTCTTCCACTTACCTGCACCAGGAATTCGAGGCCAGAAGGCACCCCTGGCAGTGGCAAGAAGGGGGCAGGAGACCCCGGGGCCACGGGGCCGGACGAGGGGAAGAGAGCGAAGCCTGGCGCGGGGCTGGGCACTTGGGCAGGCACTGGCATCTGGGCGGGCACCGGCGCCTGCCCGGGCCCAGGATGCAGCGCCGGCTCCGGGTATCCGGTGGTCACAGGGTAGGGAGGAGGAGGTGAAGGCGCGTAGCCTTTGGGGGGCAAATAGCCTGTGGAAACAAGGGTCGAGATTAGAAAGGGACCAGCATCCTCATCCCCTCGTCCTCAGCGCCTGGGCCACTAGGCTGTGGGGTTAAAGTGGGAAAGATGGGGCGGGGGAGCGGGGCGGTGGCTCCCCGGAGGAAGGGAGGGGCCCACGTAGCCAGTCCGAGCACATTCCCGGAGGATGTGTTCGACACGCTGCTCCCAAGTCCGTGGGGGGGATAACGGAGACCTCCAGCCCTGCGCCCACTTACCTGCCATGGGACAGGGATGGGTGTCCAGGGGATGTCGGTGTCCGGGCCGTTTAGTTTTAGAAGTGGAGGCAGGCTCGGAGACAGCCAGATAGATACACAGACAGACACAAAGACGGACAGGCAAACGCGGAGAAGCAGCTCTGCCCGGGGCCGGCCCAGGATCTCCGGGGCGGCACCTCTGACTCGAGGAGAAACCGAAAGTGTCAGCGGGCGGGGCGGGGTACCTGGGACCCTGGATTCCCTCAGGAGCCCCAGAACCGCCCCCTCCCTTTGTTCTCCCATTTTCCGCGGAGGTGGCCGGATACGGATGGCAGGACAGATGGGGCGGTCAGACTGACGACCCGACCTCGAGAGAAACCTCCCTGACCCCTCTGTGCCCCACGCTCACCTGAAGCCCCCAGAATTGCCTGGGTGCCGAGCACTCCGAATCGCACAAGAGCTTGCGGAGGCGGGCCCTGGATTTGACTCCGCCCCCAGACGAGTCCAGGTCCCGCCCCTCCCTGCCTGGGCGGCGCGCCTGCGCAGAAAAGACGTCGGCTCTCCTCCCACGGGGCTGCAGAACCGCGACCGCGCGCGCTCCTTGCTGTCGACCGCGTTACTGCCTCTTCCGCTCCGACTGCAGATGTGGAGAGGAAAAGCGCCTGGGGAGGGAAGCCGGCTGAGACCTCAGCCCTGCGCTCGGCGCCCTCTGGTGGGGACGCGGGTCGCCTGCGCTTTCAGGCCTGGCCTTGCTGGACGCCGGGCTCCTCCTCCCAAGGGCGGTCCGGGCCTTGCTGACGCAGTGGAACACGCTTCACACTCCTCCTTTGGCTTCTGGCACTGGCTCCCGACCCCTTTCTACTTCCCTGGGGCTACCTCGCCTTCTCCCCTGACAGAGAGGGGCCGAAGCACCGCAGTAACCTACATAGACACCTCGCAGTTACTTCCTTCAGGCGCTCCCAGCCGAGTGGGTGACAGGCCTCCAAACAATGTCAGTAATGAGTGTGCGTGAGGTGAGGCTTAAAGGGCCAGAATAGGAAGCGAGGTCAGAGAAGGCTTCCCCCTGGAGGAATCACTTGTCGGAGTCCTGAACCGAGGCCCACAAGTGTAAGGAAGTCCTGCGCCTTTGGGGCTACAGGCTAAGTAGCAAGAGATGAGTTTAGAGAAGGAGGCCAGCGCGCATGCAGAGGGCCTCGTGGGAGCTAGGACTTGGCCCCGAGGGCATCAGAGAGCCCCTTGAGAAGATTTTATGACCGAGGGCCCGTTGCCGTGGAGTCGATACCGACTCACAGCGACCCTATCGGACAGAGTAGAACTGCCCCCATAGGGTTTTCAAAGCTGTAAATCTTTACGGAAGCTGACTGCCACATCTTTTCCCGTGGAGCTACCGGTGGGTTTGAACCGCTGACATTTCGGTTAGCAGCTGAGCGCTTAACCACTGGCCCCGAGGGCTCCTCAAGACGGAGGGAGAAGGTCAAATTTGTGTTTTAGAAAGACCATTCAAACAATGTGGAGAACGGGAGGCACCCAGGCTGGGCTGTTGGTGAAACGATGGTGTATTGGGCTAAGGTAGTGGTAGTGGACACAGAGATGCTTAAGAGAGATTTAGACAGTAATGTAAGACTTGGTCGGTGGGTGAGATGTAGAGGTGAGGAGGAGTCCAGGATGACCGCAGGTGCCTACCTGGTAACCAGGAAGATGGAGGTACCACTCACCAAGCTGAGCAAGGGGAGAAGAAGGTTTGGGGGACTCCTGCCCTATGTCAGCTCTTCCCACAGCTTCAGTCATCATCTGCTCTAGACCCAAATGCCTGACCTCTTCCCTGGTATCTCTTAGTGCTTCAGACTACCGAATCACATAAACATTCAGAAATTCAGATAGTCAACAAAGATTTATTGAGCACCTACTATATGTCTATGAGTCGGACTCGAGTAGCCAGCAACAGGTTTATATTCCAGACAGTGTTTGAGGTGATAGGAATACATAGCAATAAACAAATGGACCAAGATTTCTGCCCTCCTGGAGCTTACAGTCTAGTGGAGAAGAGACATAATAAATACATTGTAAGTCAGATGGTGGCAACTGCTATGAAGAAAACTAGAGCAGGATAAGAAGGATCAGGAGCGGTGGGCAGGAGTTGCAATTTTAAATAGAGTGGCCCAGGCAGGCGTCATAGAAGATCATAGTGGAGCAAAGACCTAATGAAGGTGAGGGGTTGAGCCATGCAGACTTCTGAGTGAAGAAAGCTGCAGGCAGAGGGAGCAGCACGGGCAAAGACCCTGAAGGCAGCTGGAAAGAGGAGTTGCCATTTCAAGGAACAAAATGGAGGCCGTTGTGCCTGGAATGTAGTGAAGGAGGGAGAGGGTGGTAGAAGGTGAGATAGGAGAGGTCATGGGAGGCTAGATCCCATATGGCTTTGTAGACCAGTGGGGTATACTCTGAGTGAGATGGGGACTGTTGGAGGGTTTGGGCAGAGAAGTGACATGAATAGTGGTTCTCCACCCTGACCACATGCTGGGATGCTGGAGTGCTTTAGAAAAATACCTCTCCCCGGGCCCAACTTGTTAAATAAATGAGCAAAAGAAGGCCCCTGTGTACTGGCCCTTGGTTGGTGTTTATTTCTTCATAGCAAACTCGGGCCTGTTAACCCAGAAAGCCCGCAGGCACCAAACTCCTAATTTTACATAACCAGTTGTTTTTAAAATAAGCAGATTTTTAGCCACTTAGAGCCTGACTGCTTTACATATCCCCCAAAATGGCACCCAACATTTGCTAGCCATAGATAAGATAACCAACTCACAGTGACCCTAAAGGACAGAGTAGAACTGCCTCATAGGGTTTCCCAGGAGTGGCTGGTGGATTCGAACTGCCGACCTTTTGGTTAGCAGCCTGAGCGCTTAACCACTGTCCCACTAGGGCTCCAGAGAAGATAAAACCCTGTAGTTATAAGGATCCCAAGCTGCTGCTCCCCTTTGGGGCTCTTTGACTCCCCACCTTGCTGCACAGGGACATCACCTAGACACATAGGCACTCGCTCTTCAGTGTCCCCTGGGAGTTATCTTGTCCTCTTCCCCTTCTGGTGGCTCCTTGCACAGCTTGCTTCTGGAGTGCCTCCTGCAGCAGGGAACTGCTCCCCGCCCCGCCCCCCACCCCCACCCCGTGAGCTGTCCAATACTTCGGGCTCCAATAAATAGCTTGTTGTGCAACACCGCTATCTGGTGGTCATATGTTTTTCTCTGATCTGCCCTGAACTCTCTCGAACTCAATACACCACTCCATAACAGTTAAATTACGATATCTAGGGGTGAGGGGCAGATGTAGGCATTTTTTGAGAATTTCCCAGCAGATTTTAATGTACAGCCAAGCTTGAGGACTGCTGTGTTAAAAAGATCTCTCTTTCTCAGGCTGCTTTGTCAGAGTAGACTGCAGATAGGCAAGGGCAGAAGGAAGTTATTGCAAAAATCTAGGTGAGATATGATGGTGGTTTGGACCAGGGACCAGAGTTGTAGCAACAGAGGTGATGAGCAATGGCCAGATTCTGGATATGTGTTTGAGCCAACAGGATTTGATGATGGCTTGGATGTGGGATGTGAGAGAGGAAAAGAGAAGTCAAAGTTGACTCAGGCTTTTGGCCTGATCAGCTGGAAGGAGGAGTTGCCATTTACTGAGATGAGGAAGGCAGCAGAGCAGGGGTGAGGACAGATCAGGGATGGGTTCGGACATGTCCAGCAGAGCTCTGCTCCTCCTGCCTCTCCCAGTTGGGTTACACTAATCATTTTTAACCAAGCTCAGTCACCCGTGTCCCCTCTCTCCCATTCATCCTGTATATCTGTCTATTCCGTCTGAGAGGTGCCTCTTGAACTCACTCCCTTCTCTTTACTCGCATTACCAGTACAAGTACCAGTTGCTGTCAAGTTGACTGTGACTCATGGCAACCCCATGTATGTCAGAGTAGAACTGTGTCCCATAGGGTTTTCAGTGGCTGATTTTTTTGGAAGTAGATTGCCAGGCCTTTCTTCTGAATAGCCCCTAGGTGTACTCGAACTGCATACTTTTCAGTTAGCAGCCTAGCACATTAACCATTTGCACCATCCATGGGGTTGTCCCCAGGGACTTACTCCTCATTTTTTAAAGCAGCGCTTCCTGGCTGGCCTCCCTCCATGATTTTCATAGTCTTCAAACCCGATCCTGTAACTCCCAAGTGTAAAAAACTCAGGCGGCTCCAACGCCTGGCCCTCAAGGCCCCGCTGCACAGTACAGTCAGCCTTAGTTATTTCCTGTCTGTCCACCGGATCCTGGGCTGCAGACACTTCTGTTCTCCCTATTGATTCGTGGTATTACCAGTACATCTTCTCCCTGTTTTCTGGTGAACCCATATTCACACTTCAAAACCAGCAATGACTTAAGCCTTCCCAGCCTCAAAGCAAAATAAACCCACCACAGTATCTACTTGTAACACTGAACACGGTGTATCAAATTATTATTTTTAACTATCCCTCTTCACTGCTGGAATCTGAGTTCCCTGACATGTAGAGGAGGAAAGAACTGACTTTTGGAGTTGGACAAAGGAGAGTTTAAATCACAGCTTACACAGGTGCTAGCTGTATGATATAGAACAAGTTACTTCACCTCTCTGAGCTTTACTTTCCACTAGCCTTACAGGGCTGTTGAGAAACCTGGACACAATGTTTAGCAATAATAAAACCAGTAAACCGTTGCTGATGTGTCATGGTGACCCAACGTGTATCAAAGGAGAACTGTGCTCCATAGGGTTTCCAATGGCTGATTTTTCAGAAGTAGATTGCCAGGGCTTTCTTCTGAGGTACCTCTGTATGGACTTGAACCCGCAACCTTTCAGTTAGCTGCTAAGCACGTTAACCACCTGCACCACCCACGGACTAAAAAAAAAAAGTTGCTGTGAAGTCGATTCCGACTCGTAGCAGCCCTACAGCAGCAACCCTATAGGACAGAGTAGAACCACCTCATAAATTTTCCAAGGAGTGGCTGGTGGATTCAAATCGCTGACCT